TATATATATATATATATATATATATATAGTAGAAAATTACCAGAACAGATATATATCACGCAATTTGATATCACGATGACTGCATTTTGCTTTGTGTCTTTTTTAAGTGTGTGTGTGAAGTGATGGGGGGTGGGGGGGGGGTGGTTTGACATACCATTTACCTGCATTTCAGAAGGTAACAAAGGGAGATGTTTCACCTCTTGTCTCCTGTCATTTGTGGCCAAGTGTATAGGCGCCAGTGCCGAATGCTTGGATGCTGCTAAAACCAAGGGAAGAAAGGTTAGGGCGCGAGACGAGATAATCTCATCCGCGCGCCATCAGCAGAGTGCTGTTTAGATTAGGGCCGCGTCTTCCGCCTTGGCCGCAAGATGCATGTCTTCGAACGGGCAATTTGGAAGAGTGAAAGGGCAACGACAGCGGATCGCGTTTAGCCAAAACACGCCCTTTGCACTTAATGTTACTTAAAGAATGTGTATCATTAGTCTTTTGTTTGTTTGTGTGTGGACCATGGATAATTAGACTATTTTTATAAGGTAAGATTATTTAAACCAACAATGTAAACTGTTTCGTTTTTCAAAAAACAACATAAAAGTAATCTGAAAGTTTTTCAAATATGTTTGGTTATTGTTCATGGGTTTTCCTATTTTAATGGATATTGAAACAAATATGGCAACTGATAAGGCTTTGTTTGTATTTTGTTGCGCGTATATTGGTGACATTTGAATTGCTCATCCGCATAATATTTATTAGTGTGTCAGGAAGATCGAAGAGAATTGATACATATATACTGTTTGAGCGGCAGAACCAGCAGCATCACACAAAATACCTTCTTTTGATGTCTTATAATAAATGTTTTTATGTCCTGGTTTCAGATTGCTATTATAAATAAATTAAGTATTACTCATTCATGTGTAATTGCAACGAAAGTGATTCAGACTAATGCTTATTTGGACCGTTTACATACACAGTTAATCAGTAGGTGATCACTCTCTATTTTGATTGAAATCCCCATACGTTTCCTTAATTCGCGCATTGCCTTTCAAACACTCTGAATAAAAACGGCATGTAAGTACATAAGGGCATTTACAATGTTTAAAGAGTGAATAATGATTATTTCCTCACATAATATGAGTTAACCGATGAGTAATAACAACTCACAGTAAGTCATTATCCGGGAAATAATAAGCCCGCAGGGAAATGACACAAGAAGTAATTGTTTACAAATATTGAAGCATTGCGATGAAACTAGGGGTTGTATATAACTTTTTTTAACCGTTATACGGAAAATGTAATGGCGGAATTTTCATGTAGCCTAATCTTCTAAATACGCAATAATAGGCCTAAACTTTATAAATAAACTACTGCCGGCCTTAAACAATTATGAATCAGTAGAGGCGGGCAGTTGCGCTCCTAACTCAAAAGCCTCAACAGAGATAACAGACGCGACATAAACACAACAACTGGTGTCATCGTCCCCCGTAAATCCGCAGGTCTGTAACTAATCACTTACGTAAAAGTCAGCATACACGGCCGGGCTGACATGATATTTTTTGCCCGATTTCCGGCAATTGCTTACTGTTTACTAATTATTTCTAACGCTCAGGCTATTTTCAAATGGACCACACACAGTGCAGGTAAAATATACTATATAACTGGAATTATTCGTTTTGATAACATCGTATCATATTGCGCATAATCGTGAATACATTGCCGCGGGGCTGCGAGTCGCGATGCGTTGTCTGCCGTTACATGCCAGGCAGATAGTGACCCGGAGCCTCGCTGGAGATGCACGTGCGCCGCGCTCGGTGTTTTTGTTTGGGCGGCAGAACCAGCAGCCAGGCTCGTTACGAGGCCATCTGGGCGAGTGTGATGCATTTCCATTGATCCGTTAAGTGTTAACTGACCACGAGGGGCACAATCTATTTGACTTTGTAAATTACCGCGGATAATCACTGTCAGCGACTGGGCCGCCCAGGGCCGTTCCTACGTTTGCGGCAATGGTAAATCGTAATAAAATGTAGCGAATTTGTTACTCGCTTTATTGTTTTAAAAATGGAGCCCCTGAAGTTTCAGAACGTATTCTGAATTTCTCTGAACATTTTGACGCATTGACCGTTGCTGTTTCTTGAACAGCACTTACGTTTTCTTAATTTTACCCACAAAATTATTATGAAAATTAAGATCGTGCCAATTATGTTTGCCATAACAGTATTAATTAATTCAGTGATTGTAATGTAATCTGTTATAACCGTTTCTATGTTTTAAGGAAGTGAAAATGTTTTAAAATAACTAAAAACACGTTAAAAAAAATTCACAGTCAAGCCTAATCACCATTGATCCCCGTGGTAATTACTTGTGTATTGAATAGTTTTCAATGTTTTTAGTTACTTTGCCCTGTTCCCGCCTTAACATCTTATCAGTATAGCCTACATAACGTCTATTAAATTTCTTTAAATTATGATACTGGATAAAGAACGACTGGTTTTAAAGAATAAAACATTGCACAGTGTTTTCACGTAAATCTTCTCAATATTATTTTATAATTGCCCTAGGTAAAACTCAGTGGAAACTTCTGACTACGCCAGGGGATAAATAATTAGCCAATTCACAACAAATTTATAATTAAATTGTACATAGATCATTTAGGCCATAACCGCCATAAATAATTTGAGTTAATCTTTACGGACATGTACGACAAAAATACACAGCAGGCCAACGCAGAAAGAAAATAACCAGATTCAGCCCATTACAAAAAAAAAAAAAAAAACAAGGTACTGATACAAACACTAAAGTATGAACACTGTGTTTTAGTTATTATGTTGCAATGAATATATTTATTGAAGTAACAGGCTCGTTCCACCGATATTTGTCTAGCCTGTTTGAATGGGGTGTCACTCTACAGTTTTATTGTCAAAATATAAATGTGTTGTTGTCCCATTTCCTCGTTTACTCAAGTCACAAGACGTTAATTCAAACATTGGTTAAATAATTAACAATGCCATTTTCCGTTGTTATGTATTTATAACAACGGAAAACGGCATTGCATGGAAGCGCGCGTTATCTATCAATGTTCAGGAGTATTTCCGTCGTCATCAAAACCCCCCAGTATAAAAATCGCATTCATGTTTTGCGTAATAATACAACAATAAATTGTATTAATTTTCAAGAATGAAGTGTAAACACACAAAATTCTGGCCCGGTTTCAGCGCTCAGTCCACTTATTCTTAATATTTCAAACGTCACCCTCACTGTTAAACGAATAACTTGCAGAAATTTCTGAATTGAAAATGTACTTTGAAATACTACGAATAAATTTAATTTACCGTCAATTTGCGTTTGAATATAAAACGTCGTATAAATATATTTAAACACGTTTCTGTTAGACAGTACATGTGTGAAAGGACGGGTGACATTATCGCTATATATAGGTCGCTAGCGCCCTAAAGGGAAAAGTATTGAGACGCCCCGAAAGAGCCGGATCACCTCCCCTCCCATTAGTGCCTAGATTTTGGAGAGACGTCAGATTATCAGCTTTCTATCTAGCAAACAGTTCCTCCCGCTCTCCGCCCAGCGATCGTCAGACTGTCTTTTACAACCTGCAGCGAATTTGCCCATTAATCATCGTGGTTAAAGACAGGGCGCTTCTCTGGATCTCCTCAGTTTGTGTACTCTAGACACGAGTGCTGTCTGCCGAGCCCCCTAGGGTACATGAGGATGTTCAAACCAGAGGCGCTTGTCCCGCATCACCACGCAGCTAGATGAACTACTTAGGCATCATATTAAAAAAAGAAACCCCACCAGCAAGCGATCGGCTGCAAATGGCTGCATGTATTTGGTGAGTTTGGATAAGGATTTAGGTCACACATCATACACCACGACGTCCTGATTTAAAGTAGATTCGGGGGAAACCACTGGAAATCCATGACGCAGTGTTACTCAACGTACAAGACATCTAAATTAGTCCTAGGTATTTTGTAGTGATTCACCAGGGATATGCGCTAGTCACACAAAATAGTAAATATTACTGTCGTTAATGGACTCAAGAAACAAGCTATAGCCTACGCGTCCAAGCTATTTAATGCGTATCTGAATAATAGCTTTTAATCGTAGGCCTAATGGATTTTTAATTTGTTTAATTATTAGGCCTATGTATATAATTATTCAACTCTAAATCGTGGTGATGAGAAATCATAATTTATACAAGTTTAAATTTATGGGCAGGCCGCTTTGCTGGAGTTACTGTAGTTAAACACAGTCCTTAATACCCTCCTGGGGGTTCTTTAGGTGAGCTTAAGTGCTGCCATTTATTTTATTCCCGTGCGTGAGTGTCCTCGGGCTGAATACGGAACGAAGGCCCATTTACGCGTTATGAGACGTTATATTAACGTTAAAATTGTTTGAGCGGCCGAACACATTTACAGCCGTTGTGTTGTTTTTTTTTTTTTTTAAACAAACAAACAAACACTGAATTCTGCGAAACACGTTAAGTCGCACCTGCTTTTTCATGTCAAGGCCGCAGCTGTGAATAAAATCTTCAGCGTAGCCTACTTTAGCTCAACAATCATTTTATTTAAAACAAATCTTATCGGATGATAGGCCTACATATTGCAGCTTTTTATTACTCTACTTTCTTCCGTGAATACTTACCATAATTACAGTTATGAGCGCCATCGATTTAGCCAAGCCATTCTTTTCAAAATCGCCCCGTCTTCCTTAAGCAATTACACAACAGTCATGCATGTTCTCGGTTTACTGCCTCGCGGTAAATCTTTATGCCTCTAGTAAATCGGCGGCGTGGCGCCCGCGCGGGGTCTGTCCCGGGCTCCCCTGACCCGCCATTTACCCCCGATGAGCTTTGACAGTGACCATAGCGTGCCATCGCCGGTCCCGAAAGCGGCTGACCCGGCCGAGTGTTTACACGGAGGAAGAGCCTGTTTCCTGGAGGTAACAAACCCCAGGCTTGGAGCGCGGCGTTGGCGAGGCGCTCGGCGCACAAGGGACACGCAAATACATCATCTTCATCGTGACCTTGGGTTGGACAGGGGTTGAGCCGGAGAGGACCCTGGCAGACAGGTCAAGGACCGAGCCTGAATAGGAAGGAGTTTCATACTAACAAGTCACACTACATCTCAGACTGGCAGCTGTGTCTGTGCCGCTCTGTTCATTCACCTCGTACTGAAACACAACTGAATTAATACATGCTTGTATGTATATGTATGTGTCGTTATTTATTTTTATTATTATTATTTTATTATTATTATTATTATTATTATTATTATTATTATTATTATTATTATTGTTGTTCTTTTGTCTTAAAAAAACAATTGCATGATTTGTAACTAAAGTTCATGTCAACTGTTCATGCAGTTTACTTGCAATCCGCAGTGTGGAATTTAAAATACCGTATCGGTTAAACCGAGTTGGTAGTTAACCTTATATGACTCGTGCAAACGCGGCTGCCTTTGTCTCAGTTTAGCTGATTAGGGTAACAGGAAAAGGTACGGGAGATTTTATCTGAACATAAATAAAAACTGTAAATTATGACCACTGTCGGGTTACACGAGGCCGAAGTAACCCTTTAAAAGTCTATAAAAGCCTTTATCGATGCATTTTTTTTTGATAATTTGCAGGGTTGCCAACTGTCACACACCTGGTGACACTCATAACAGCACTGATCACGCTTTCAGACAGTCACGCATGAAATCTTACAGCAAATCTATTTTAATCCATTATAAACCATTATAAACCTAAAATTAGCTACATCAAAAGCATTGGAGTAGTTTGCAAACCCTACCCTACAGACTATTTGCAAG